ATCGAAGAATTTCACCAGCAGTACATTCTGCAGTATGGACCCCCGAAAACTCTTGAGTGCTCGGGACACCAGGTTCATTAGTGCTGATTGGGAGGATTTCACTTCTCAGGCCTACGACATTAAACTCGACAAGACTTCTGGTCGACATAACGAATCCAATGGATTGGCCGAGGAAATCAACCAGACTGTTATTCAACTACTTTGCGCGTTAATTGTTCCAGATCAGAACACGTGGGACAAGGAGTTACGCAAAGTGAAGGGGTTGTACAACAACTCCATTCACTTTGCAACTGCAATATGGTTGGCAATTGCGCAATCCTCTCTCCTATCTGTTCAGTGGGGAAAAACACTGAAGTAGCAGGTAGGCCGGTACCACTAAGTGGTGGTAGAAGTGTCGGGTAGTGGAGGCCGAGCAGAAGAAGACAAAAAGTTGACATTTTTAGAGGCCCAGTAGCGGTAGGTTAGAGGTAGGCCGGTACCAGTCCAAGTAGCCTGAGTCTAAAGCCTGTCCGGACGATACCAGAGACTGCAATGATGTTTCCCTCCGTAAGGGAGGAGGTACCTATTGCTGGGAGGCTGCTCGGCCTAGGAAGTCACCGCCCAAGAGGCCAGTAGGCCGCTATATCTTCGGGAGGAGCAAGCAGCTCCTCCTCATTTGCAGTATGCAAGGATTGGCCACATGCTGCTGGAGCCAAGCGCTAGACTTGTGCAGTGCTGCCTAGAGGATTAGAGCAACTGGGCACTCAGCCTGGCTATGGCGAGCCTCCCACCTTGAGGAGGATGAAGGAGGCGAAGGAGGAGGGTGGCGAGGTACCTACCTGGCTATGGTGGACACCATCTTCATCACCTTGTTGGGCGCTGCATCTGATAGGCCGCAGTTCGGGTAATGCCACACCAAGGAAGCTCGAGGCCGAGTCAGGCATGGCGGCTTAGTCAGCAGCGGCATAGCTGCTTTGGGTTGTCCTTTGGACAGGAGTGCAGCGACATAGCTGGTTTGCGTTGTCCTTTGCACAGGAGGGCATGGCCCTCAGTAGTCCGCCATAGCCTAGGCTTGTGAGAGGAGGAAGAAGGGGGGAAACCATAGCTATGGTGGGCCTGTTGTTGTGTCAGAAGTAAGAGGGAACTTCGGATATTGATTCTGGTTCATCCACTCATTGTTATTATTGGAAGAAGGATAAGATTGGCAAAGTGAAGGAGGAGGAGGAAGGTGGAGAGAGAAGGGGGATTTGTCAATGGTCTTGCTGGTGTACATGTTTCTTGTTCTTCTTCTTCTTCTTCTTCTTCTTCTTCTTTTCTTTGGTCTCTATCTCTTTGCAAGTGCTTTCATTTCTTTCACAATCGGGTGGCATTGTCTTTCATTGTGAATTTGCACTTTGGGAATGACCAGGATTGTAACAGCCTATCTCTAACCTAGGGCAGCTATGGCTGCTTTCTACCTCTCCTACTAACTAGCGGATGGCTTTGTCTCCCTCACAGCCCACTTCTCCCTCGGGTACCTGCAGACCTCCTTGCACAAGTCGCTCAGGCAGCGCTTCCGCACGACTCACAGTCTGAATGAATGAATGAGTGGACACTGGCTCTTGATTTATATTTCAGTTGGTCGGTGGTCTGCTCCTTTCCGCCAGTCCCAAGGTGCACACATTCCCACATGGTAATTGTTGCTGGACAAAGTGTGACCGGGACTGGGTCTGTCTCTTATACACATCTAGATGTGTATAAGAGACAGAGTGGACACTGGCTCTTGATTTATATTTCAGTTGGTCGGTGGTCTGCTCCTTTCCGCCAGTCCCAAGGTGCACACATTCCCACATGGTAATTGTTGCTGGACAAAGTGTGACCGGGACTGGGTACCGCTGACTAGACAAGGTTGGACTGCCCACTTGCCCACTTGCCTCTAGCCTAACCTGCGCAATTCTCGAAAGGCCACCTTCCGGAAGTCTGTAGAGTTGGCCTTTCGGGACTGTAGCAGCTATGACGTTGACCTTTCAGGACTGTAGCAGCTACGACTTCTACACAGCTAAGACCCCTCCTTGGCAGGCCTACAGTTCATGAACCGACGACCACACTATCCTGCAACAGTCAACAAACGCCTACCAAGACACAGGTCACGGGTTCGAACACACAGGAGGCGACTCGGTACTGTACACAGGTGAGGCTAAGGTTTGGGGATCGAGCCCTGGGATTTGGGTCTGCTATTGCAAAGATGAAAACCATTTCATTTCGAAAAAGTTGATTGAACTTGATTCAATAATAAAAAAAATCACAAATAATTCAACATTCTACTCAATCAATTTTATATAATTCAAATAGGAAAAAAAAAAAAAAAATTATTTAAATTGTATAAAAGATAGAATAGCTGACATTTTAATTGTGTTAAACCACCAGTGCCTAGCGGTTGTTAAGGCCCGTGGGTCAGCCTACCGGTAACCCGAACCTTGCCGAGCCTCGAGCTACCGGTAGGTACACGCACACACAAAAAAAGAAACCGACAATTCTTCTGCCCCAAAAAACAAGAAATAAAAAAACAAAGAAGGCCAGTGGCTCCACTACTCTTGACATTTGCAAAACAAGAGTGAATCTTCCGCGCGAACATGGAAAGATACACTGTGATGATTTTTGTCTTTTCTGCATATCGAGGGACGCCCACTGACAGTGACAAACGCGGAGTTTAGAGAGAGGGAGAGAGAGAGACGCCGAGTTTGGCGCACCAAACTCGGCGTGACTCTCTCTCTGTGAACGCGCATCGGGAGAGAGAGCAGACGCGCTGCTGCTCCCTATGTGCAAAATGAGAATGAATCTTCCACAACAACGCGGCTAGATTCTCTCATTCTTTCAAGTTTGAAAGCGTGCGCGTGAGAGAGAGAGAGAGAGAGAGAGAGAGAGAGAGAGCCTGGCTCCACTACTACTGAAATTTGCAAAACGAGAGTGAATCTTCCGTGCGAACATGGAAAGGTACAAGGTGATGATTTTTGTCTTTTCTGCATGTCGAGTGAGGCCCACTGATCGTCTCTCTCTCTTTCTCTTTCTTTCTCTCTCTCTTCCTCTGTGTGTGTGTGTGTGTGTGTGTGCGAACACTCATCGGGAGATAGAAGCAGAAGCGCTAAAGCCGCTACTCCCTATGTGCAAAATGAGAATGAATCTTCCGCAAAAACGCGGGTAGATTCTTTCTCATTCTTTCAAGTTTGAAAGAGTGCGCCTGCACACGTGTGTGTGTGTGTGTGAGAGAGAGAGAGAGAGAGAGAGAGAGAGAGTGAAGCCGAGTTTGGCGCACCGAACTCGGCGTGAATCTCTCTCTCTCTCTCTCACGCGGAGAGATTCGTGCTTTTTTTTTTTTTTTTT